CCCACAGCCAACATCGTTCTCAATGGTGAAAAACTAAAAGCATTTCCACTAAGATCAGGAAAAGACAAGGTCGTCCACTCTCATCACTGTTATTCAACATAGTTTTGGAAGTTTTAACCACAGCAATCAGAGAATAAAAGGAAATAAAAGGAATCCAAATCAGAAAAGAAGAAGTAAAGATGGTACTGTTTGCAGACGACATGATACTATACATAGTGAATCCTAAAGATGCTACAGAATACTACTAGAGCTAATAAATGAATTTGGTAAAGTATCAGGATACAAAATTAATATACAGAAATCTCTTGCATTCTTATAAACTAATGATAGAAAATCTGAAAGAGAAATTAATGAAACACTCCCATTTACCATTACAACACAAAGAATAAAATACTTAGGAATAAACCTACCAAAGGAGACAAAAGACATGTATGCAGAAAACTATAAGACACTGACGAAAGAAACTAAAGATGATACAAACAGATGGAGAGATATACCATGTTCTTGGATTGGAAGAATCAACATTGTGAAAATGACTATATTACCCAAAGCAATCTACAGATTCTGTGCAATCACTATCAAACTACCAATGGCATTTTTCACAGAACTAAAACAAAAAATTTCACAATTTGTATGGAAACACAAAAGACCCCAAATAGCCAAAGCAATATTGAGAAAGAAAAACGAGCTTGAGGAATCAGGCTCCTGGATTTCAGAGCATACTATAAAGCTACAGTAATCAAGACAGTATGGTACTAGCACAAAAACAGAAATATAGATCAACGGAATAGAATAGAAAGCCCAGAGCTTAACCCACACACATATGGTCACCTTATCTTTGAAAAAGGAAGCAAGAATATACAATGGAGAAAAGACAGCCTCTTCAATAAGTGGTGCTGAGAAAACTGGACAGCTACATGTAAAAGAATGAAATTAGAACACTCTTTAACACCATACACAAGAATAAACTCACAATGGATTAAAGACCTAAATGTAAGGCCAGACACTATAAAACTCTTAGAGGAAAACATAGGTAAAACACTCTATGACATAAATCACAGCAAGATCCTTTTTGACCCACCTCCTAGAGAAATGGAAATAAAACCAAACATAAACAAATGGGACCTAATGAAACTTAAAAGCTTTTGCCCAGCAAAGGAAACCAGAAACAAGACTAAAAGACAACCCTCAGAATGGGAGAAAATATTTGCAAACGAAGCAACAGACAAAGGATTAATTTCCAAAATTTACAAGCAGCTCATGCAGCTCAATATCAAAAAAAACAAACAACCCAATCAAAAAATGGCAGAAGACCTAAACAGACATTTCTCCAAAGAAGATATACAGATTGCCAACAAACACATGAAAGGATGCTCAACATCACTAATCATTAGAGAAATGCAAATCAAAACTACAGTGAGGTATCACCTCACACCGTCAGAATGGTCATCGTCAAAAACTCTACAAACAATAAATGCTGGAGAGGGTGTGGAGAAAAGGGAACCCTCTTGCACTGTTGGTGGGAATGTAAATTGATACAGCCACTATGGAGAACAGTATGGATGTTCCTTAAAAAAGTAAAAATAGAACTACCATACGACCCAGCAATCCAACTACTGGGCATATACCCTGAGAAAACCATAATTCAAGAAGAGTCATGTATCACAATGTTCATTGCAGCTCTATTTACAATAGCCAGGACATGGAAGCAACCTAAGTGTCCATCAACAGATGAATGGATAAAGAAGATGTGGCACATATATACAATGGACTACTACTCAGCCATAAAAAGAAACGAAATTGAGTTATTTGTAGTGAGGTGGATGGACCTAGAGTCTGTCATACAGAGTGAAGTAAGACAGAAACAGAAAAACAAATACCGTATGCTAACACATATATATGGAATCTAAAAAAAAAAAAAGGGTCTGAAGAACCTAGGGGCAGGACAGGAATAAAGACGCAGACGTAGAGAATGGCCTTGAAGACATGGGGAGGGGGAAGGGTAAACTGGGATGAAGTGAGAGTGTGGCGTTGACATATATACACTACCAAATGTAAAACAGATAGCTAGTGGGAAGAAGCTGCATAGCACAGGGAGATCAGCTCGGTGCTTTATGACCACTTAGAAGGGTGGGATAGGGAGGGTGGGAGGGAGGTGCAAGAGGGAGGGGATATGGGGATATATGTATATGTACGGCTGATTCACTTTATTATAAAGCAGAAACTAATACTCCATTGTAAAGCAATTATAGTCCAATAAAGATGTTTAAAAAATTAATAAATAAATAAAATTTAAAAAAAATAAAATGTATACAGTACTTGTGATAAACCAGGTTCTGTCCTAAACACTCCAAATATATTCATTTGTATAATTCTCTTAATCTTATTACATATGTACTATTGTATAGATGATGAAACTGAAGCAAAGAGAGACTAAGTGACTTTTCTGATATCACAAGGGCTATAAAGTTGCAAGATCTGGATTTAATAGCAAGGAAATGCAGCACCAGAGTTCACATTCTTAACTACTTTCTTACACTTTCTGCTATACTGGATCAGGGAATGAGGGAAGGATGGTATGAGCAGAGGCAGGGAGGAGTGAGAGTGTATGTTTTCCTAGGCAAAGAAAACAGGTGAGAGCAATAGGAAGTATGGCTGGAAAACGGGGTGCATGAGCAGAATTACAAGATGAAAATAAAGGGCTAAGCCAAGGACTTGAATTTCATGCCAAGGAATTTGTACTTGGCAGAAATACTCAATGAAATTTATGTTTTATGAAGATACCTTGGGGGCAATGTTAAAGGGGAGAGGCCTGGATGAGGCAGACAAGAAGAAACTGCATTACCCCCTCAAAAGAGAATCAAGGTCTGAAGTATAGTAATGGAGACTGTGGTAATAAGTGTAGTAATGGAGGTAATAAGTGTGGTAATAAGAGGAGGGAGCAAATTTATGAGTCATAAGAGGGTTGGCTGGCATACAGTGTGGTAACTGATCAGGTGCCCAGCAGATTTAACAGATGACTTGCAGGTTTCTTTTTGCAGGAAATGGATAGATGGTTAGGTCATTAATAAATATATAGAACTGGAGGAGGAGTCTTCACAAAGATGATGTACTTAGCAAACACTTCTTGAAAGAAGAAGTGAAGTAGTAGTAATACAGAGGTTATTTTTCCCCTAACAAATGAAATGCCAGGAACATAGGCATTATCCATAGTAATTAATTACAATGGTCCAAGGAAGCTCTACTGTGGACTATGTGCCTTACATTTAAGTAATCTAATCTGAAAATTTAATTATAGGTAGCTGCTCATTTTATCAAATAATTAAGAACAAATTCATCAGTAATTTATTTAGTATACTTATTAAAATATTAACTTTACAAATATTAGATTTACACACAATTCTTAAAATACATCTACTGTAAAAATTGAAGAACTATATTATATGACCATATTTGGTTCTAAAAGTTGAATGAATGAAATTCTAAAAAAGAACAGATGAAAAATATCAGTCAATATAGGCTCAAGGGAAATAAAATTTCCTGGAGTAATGTAAACAACTGTTTTTCACTTAAAATTCTAGGTCATATTTTATATTATAGGCATTTCAACTGTATATTCTTTTAAGAGTCTGCATTACACAATATACCAAAACTATTGCCTACTTAAAGCAGAGGTTTATGGCTCTGGATAAATAGCCCTTTTGCTTTGGTTGACATCATGAGACTTAGCTCTACCTGTTAGATGATGCTCACTTTAACCCAGCTACCAACGGTACAGGGGGCAGAGTTATCTCAGTCACACCTCCATATCAATAAACCCAAACTATACAGTTTTTTGACTTTGTGTTATTCATACTTGCATTTCTTTTAACGTAGCCATTTCCTGGCATATGTAGTAGATACTTGACAATAATTGTTGAATGAGTAAAATACCATAATGGGAAGTAGAGGATCTCTCAGTATATAGAATGCAACTTACAGTATTTATAGTTTCTGAGTTCTACTGATTCCAGTCTTACTGAAGAAAGAACAGGTAGGTTGCAGGGTGCACAGGGCAAATATGAACGAGCACATTAAGAAGCTAATAAAATGTTTTTGCTTATGATACAAAGGCATAAGCATAAACTCATTCATCTATTCATTTAATAATTATTGAGCACCTGACCGATTCCTTCCTTCAAGGAACTCACATGCTCAATAGAGCATGTCAGATGTGGAAATAGACAAATATAATTTAAAAAAAACAGAAAGACCTTGAACAAAGAGATGAACAATATACTCAGAGACTGGATAGGCCATAATGAAAATCTAAATTTCCTCACTTGTGATATTCCTATTTCACTCCGAATCTATAAGAACACATGGCTGGCCGTAGTATCGCATTACAAGTAATTCCTCGAAATTCCTTTTAACATTCTTTATTTTTAGGAAATCGAAATAGGATGTTTTAATGGGAGGAGCAAAGAGAATGTCTGGGAAGGAAACTTAGAGCCAGATAGTGGGGGACTTAAAAATACACAATTTTCCATTTGTCCAAAAGTGTTTTATTTGGGTTGGGTTTGGTTTTATATAGCCGAGTGTAAAATCCACAAATTATCCTTTATTAATGATTGATACAGTCCCTATTCCCAAACCAAATATCCACCAAGCTTTGGAATTGTTATCCTCATGAAACTATAACATTGAGCTTTTGTTCAGCTCTTCAAATCAGGTTTCATTTGAAGTCTATGAGAACAGGCAAAGATTAGAAGGAAATGTGAAGATGGGAACTAGCCCTTAGTGGCTCTCAAGCATGTTTGTGGGATGCTTTGTTTATTTGCAGGGTGAAGAGAAACAAAACCAGAGCTGGAGAGAACTCTGTTTCTTTCCATTTAAAAGCCAAACTTCTGCGGTACGGCAGACACTAACACAACATTGCAAAGTAGCTATACTCCAATAAAAATTAATTTAAAAAAAAAAAGAAAAAAAAAAAAAGAAAAGCCAAACTTCATGGATCTTACCTGAAAAGTTTCTGTAATCCACTAAGTCAAACATAACAATGGCCACAGCTGACCACGTGATGATCAGAGCAATGACCAGAAGCCAGGCTGCTGGGGAGCTGAATGTCGTCACTATATCTTCTGTGACTGTCCTCTTTATCACTTTTCCAGGGGATTTGGGCACAGATCCATTCTTGCTGTCTATCACAGTTGTGGTCGTAGATGCATTTCCTAATCGAACATTGGAAAAGGAGAATTATAATTTGGAATTTCATGTCAAATATTGATGACAAAAACCCCTTCCCCACAAAACACAGACTGTATAGGTATATATAGCTCTTTTATAGCATTTTCTATGGCAGAATACACCTCTTTAGTGGTAGAGCCAAACTCCCTGCCCGCTACCACATTTCACTTTCTCAGCATTTACCCTCCACCCTGATACCCACAGGCCCTCATAATCAGCATTCCTCGTCTCCCAAGTTCCATAAGTACTGCCAGCCAGGCCACAAACTATGTCATAATCTTCAATCATTTTTGCATGTCCCTTACCGCCTCATATACCCAACACCATCAAGGGCAATGGCTTTTTTGGTCAAGTTGCTTTTTAACCTTTTTCTTTTATTTAGGTTTGTATGTCAGGTCTAAATACAAGCAAAAATATCCCCTCTGGGAGAGAAACAAAATCAGTGATAAAATAGTTCAAATGGATGAAATTTCTTTTGGATATTCTGGTTTAACAGCATAACTGACCCTCTATTAAAGCCATTAATTTTTATTTGTGAAAGTGGCATAGAAGATCTAAGAGATTAATGTTGGAAAATCTTATTATATCCAGAAACTTTTTATTTCTGCTTACAAAAGTCTACACTTTCAGTTCATGACTGAAAATTCAAAAAATATAAAAAATAGCAAAATAAATAAATAGTTATTTGGGTTTTTTATTAAACAATAGATTTACCATCGATAATTATTTGTATTCTCACCACACAAAAAGAACTGTTGACATATTTTTCTATTTATACCTACTTTTCTGTACATGCAAGTAAATACATAAATACGTTTTATTTATTTCTGACAAGTCATCAACACACTCTCCGTTAGTTTACTAGGCAATATATAATAAACATGATTTCTTGCTGTACATATTCCATAAAATACCACTTAAGTGGCTTCATGGCATGTCATTCCATGGCTATACATAATTTAGTTGAACAGCTTTCTACCCTGGGACATGGCAGAAGTTTTCTCAGCACATATTAATGATTTTTGTATAAAGAGAATTTCCTAAATATAGAATTTCTGGGCAAATAATATAATCACTTTTATATCTTTTGAGAATATATGTATATATTTGAAAATTAGTTTATTTTTGAAAATAAAAATAATTTGTTTCCTTATCCTTGACAACCCTGGGTATTACCGGTATTCAAAATATGTTCAATCACACAGGAGGAAAATTCTACTTCATTTACAATTCTTTGATTGCTAGAGATAAGCTTTTTTATATGTTTATTTTTCATTTATATTTCTTATCCTGTGAAGTTTTTTGTTCATTTTTCTATAAACCTCCTTCTGGTGGTTTATAAAGTTGTGTACACATATACATACATACTTAATGTATATGTATATATTTTGTATATGTATATTTGCATATACGTATATGAGTGTGTCTACATGTAAATGTACTTACATGTATGCATGTGTGTATACATATATGCTTATAAATAAACACACACATATAGAATAGTACCACTTTATCTAAACTTATGTTGCACTTTTTTCCTTCAACTGTTTACTTTTTCTTTTTATGGCTTTTTTTTTTTTTTTGCGGTACGTGGGCTTCTCACTGTTGTGGCCTCTCCCGTTGTGGAGCACAGGCTCCGGTCGCGCAGGCTCAGCGGCCATGGCTCACGGGCCCAGCCGCTCCGCAGCATGTGGGATCTCCCCGGACCGGGGAACGAACCCGTGTCCCCTGCATCGGCAGGCGGACTCTCAACCACTGCGCCACCAGGGAAGCCCTTTTTATGATATTTTTATGTATAGAGTAAACATTTAAAAATTTTGTAACTCATTTTTCTTCTATAAAGTTGCTGCCTTTGCATAACTAGAAAGCGTCCCCTCAATGGAGAGCAGGCATATATGACTATATTGACAAGCCTTGACTCATAGAAAGTTATCTCTAGAGGAAACTTAGAGACTATATGGAACAAATATATCATGTTTCATTTAAGAACAATTGAAGACCAACCAGAAATTACACAGATGTGGAGTAAATAACTGAGTACTAAAGAGAAAAAATACCCCTAACAATCCAAATATTTTTGCCAAAATTACAGCTTAACAATATATTTCATATACTTTAAATATGAGCTACTTTGTCTACAACAATTAAAGAATTACATATTAGGGAAGAGAAAATTTTGATTAATCACATTCTAATATACATAAGTAAATATTTTCAATTTTATCTCTAAATTACATTCCTAAATTTTTTTTTAAAAGCAAAGTTTCAAATTTCTTTGACATTAAAAATTAAGAAACAATTTTTCCACTCCCAACCGGAAACTTCTTTGACATTTTTTACAAAATGAATTTCACCTAAATGGAGTTACTCTTAGAATAATCTTCGCCATTATCATCATCACTATCATCGTTACTTTGGCCACTACTTCTACAGGTAGGACTACAACCACTACTATCATGATAAGGAAGGGCTAGAAGTGCAAGATTAACCTTAGAAACAAAGGCTGAGGGACTAACTCCTCGATAAATGCAGACATTTATTTCCACTTAATAGCATATACATTAGGCTAAGACAGTTTCAGGGAACCAAAAAAAGAATGCTATGACTTCCTCCATGTCTTTCCTAATCAACTTATTTATTGTAATACAGGAAAACAGGGACACATACTGTAATTTATTCATATTAATGGATCCTGTTTTGCCCCATTAACAAAATTAAGAGAGATGATTGATAACAAATAAACTTATTTTGTTATTGTACAAATGTTATCAGATATGTAACTGAATCTTTAAAGTACAAAAATAAAGTTTGAACCCTCAAACAGATGTGTGCACTGCGTACTTAAAGTATAAATTCAGTTCATAAGACAATTTTTAGTTGTTGACAGAAGAAATGAAAATACCACATGCAAAATTAAGTACTCTAGTTAATAAAGTTTTCTTCGTTTCTTTACCCATAAAATGGTACTTTCCTCCCCTATATAGAAATAAAATAAATGACATAAAATTCTAGACTGACTAGGGAAAAGAAAATCAAATGCATTCTAGTGTATATATTATTAGTAGGTATTAATAATAACCAAACATAACTAATACAACTATTTTTAGATGACAATGGTAAATCTAGGCTTAGATGACAATGGTAAATCTAGGCATATATTTTTTTTTTTTTTTTTTTTTTTTTTTGCTGTACGCGGGCCTCTCACTGTTGTGGCCTCTCCCGTTGCGGAGCACAGGCTCCGGACGCGCAGGCTCAGCGGCCATGGCTCACGGGCCCAGCCGCTCTGCGGCATGTGGGATCCTCCCGGACCGGGGCACGAACCCGTGTCCCCTGCATCGGCAGGCGGACTCTCAACCACTGCGCCACCAGGGAAGCCCTAGGCATATATTTTTAAGAGTAAAAAGCTGATGAGAAACATCAGTGGTAAAATCATTTAATTAAAATTTTAAAACAACTTTAGGTATAAATTAATAATAGTAACAATGAATCTCCTTTCTTCTCTGAAAATCTATGTGAATACATATCCCAAGCTCTAAAATTCAATTTAGTTGAAATGATACCAAGATGGAAAAATAACTTTAAAAAACAGATTTCAGTTTGTACCTGAGGTGGTGCTCAAAGAAAGAAAAATTAGAAAGAACTCATATCATATCCTCTCACTGAATTTCGTGTGAAATTCCCATCTTCTAATGGCAGTTCTGAAAATGGATGAATGATAGAAATACTTTGAAATGCGATTCAAGACTCAAGTGGGGCTACAAGTGAATCAAATGATTCGCGGGAGAGTAAGTGCATTATAAGTGTGTAGGAGAGGCCCACGTGAAAGCTGATATGTTGCTAAACTCCAGTTTTTTAACTTCTGGAAGGCTTCCTACTATCACTATATAGAGAACATGGGAAGAATTGCTTTTGCTCTTTAGATTCACTTCAGTGAACTGTGTGTAAGACAGTATTTCTGCAGACAATAACATACACACCTGCTTGGTATCTCGAACCTGAATAAATAAACGTACTGAGATTTGATACAAAATTAGTTGAATTCTGGTCCCATTTTTAAAAGACAGAAAAATTTTTATGGGATAAGAATTTCTACATTTTTTCCCTTTTTTATCAGGAAATTGAGAGAGTATATAAATTCAGGGAGTAATGCAAGTTCAGAGTTAAAATATGACTTTTAATTTTTTAAAGAACTGATTTTAATATAAATTCCAAATTTTATTTCACCTTACAGTCCTGCCAAAACAATTATGGTACAATATTTTAAACAAATAAAAATGACAAAGTTAACACTAAACAATTTTTTAATCTTTTCTATTTTTTTTCATCCTCACATCCTCAAAAATTCCACTTAAGAATTAATCAAGATTCCAAGGTGATGAAAACATTCTGAGTATCCAACAGCAAAACCATAAGCAATTTGAAAGTAACCTGAAGGTTACCCTGCTTAAGGAAAATTATGTGCTGCCTTTGTTATGGAAACACACTAGGTTGTAACTTTCAATTTCCATTCAGATTTACTTATAGAAGCCACACAGTGCCAAGAAGAATAAAATTGAGGGGAAATAAATTGCCTTCTCTGACAGCTGGTCAAGATATATGCAAAGAATAGAGTGTGTAATCTGAGATTATTTAATGTTTGAGAAGCACTTTGGAGATGAAAACAGCTAGTTATTGATATGGTGGAAAAATGAGAGGTAAATATTACTGAGAAATTTGATATGGGTGATGTTTCTTTTTTTATAAATTTATTTATTCATTTATTTAATTTTTGGCTGCATTGGGTCTTCGCTGCTGCACACAGGCCCTCTCTAGGTGCAGCGAGCGGGGGCCACTCCTCGTTGTGGGGCGCAGGCTTCTCATTGTGGTGGCTTCTCTTGTTGTAGAGCACAGGCTCCAGGCACGCGGGCTTCAGTAGTTGTGACACATGGTCTTCAGTAGTTGTGGCTCGCGGGCTCTAGAGTGCAGGCTCAGTAGTTGTGGTGCA